CTAGCCAGCTGAATTGCAACCGTACCCTATTTTGATTTCATTAATAAATATCATCGTCATTATACAAGCTCGGCTACATGAATCCCGATTAGTCACTCGGTTGTGTTTAATGTTATTTCGATGTTCTTGCAGTATTAATTACAAATCAGTTTTAAATTTTTAATAATATAGAAAAGCAAGATTGCTTATATGATTACATATCCCAGGGAATTTGATCCGTTGCATCAAAAGAAGCTTGGCACCCGCATTACCGACCTGGAATCTCAATTGGGTTAGGCTCAAGAAGAGTTGAAGAAACTTGAAGAGGAGTTAGGCTTCTATAGAATCTACCAAGAGAGAATTTTTCAAAAACTGATGTTTTCGAAGTTCCACTAGATAAGATCCCCCTGAACCCAAGAGCGAGCTTACAAACATGACCGAGCAAGAAGAGAATGAAGCCTGTGAAGCTAAAGTTGGATGTGACATTGATGAAACTGATGAAGCAACACTAGTGCTAGAGCCGGTGAAACCACCATCAGATGACTTGGGCTTGGTGAATGCAGAGATCAAGTTGCTCAAAGAGAAATTGGCTGAGAAGGAGAAGCAATTGGAGGTGGTTCGGGAAGAGAAAGAGCTCTTGAAAAGGAAAGTAAAGGATGCAGTAGTGGAGTTAGCTGCATTTAATTTCTAGTTATGAGGGAAGAAACTGTTCTAAAGTTGGATAAAATGGGGAAGGCGCTAGAACAGAGTAAGGCAAATGCGACTCAACTGAACCAGCAATTAGAGGAGGAGGGAGCAAAGGCAGCATTAGAGACAGAAATGAAGAAGCTGAGGGTGCAGACAGAGCAGTAGAGGAAAGCAGCAGATGCAGATGCAGCTACAGTTGTGCTAGCCGGTGGAGTGGAGATGAATGGGAGGGTACACTGGATTTGTGGACTCTCCAATGATGGGAAATGATTTAGATGATGGATTTGGAAGGGTTCCAGGATATGAATGTTTGGAGATTTGTGGAAGAAGGGGTAGAAATAGATCATACCCATGCCTCTCTCTTTCTCTCTGCACTAAGTTTGTGCTTGGTGCTTTAAGCTTACTGCTTGTGTCTTAACTGCGAATTAGTTGCTTATATGGGCAGTTTCTGTGTGTTGCTTTACCAGCTGAAGCCCAAATCGAAAGAACATTTTTTATCATAAAAGAAAAGGGAATTTTTGAACTTTTTGAAAAAATATATCAACCACGTGATATCACATGTGAATTGTGTGTGGCGGAATAGTAGGTTTTAGACAACTGTAAAAAAAATTTGGAATACTTTAGGACAATATAATAGTAAGGGTAGAGTTAGTCAATTTTTAGGAGTAGGGGTGTCAATGGACCGGTTTTGGGTTGGATTCCGTCCAAATCAAAATCCATTTGGACGGACTAATAAGACATATTGAATTTGGACGAACTAGAAAGACCAATATGACATATTGGATTGAACATGGTCCTTCCATAATGAATTTATATTGGATTGAGCCAATTTCTGGTCCATTGATAGAAGAGTAGAACATAGGTGTCAATGGACCAGGTTTGAATTGAGACCAATCTAAATTAACAGGAATTTGAACAGATTGAACAATCTCTAGATTGGTCCAAAATATTCATTGGACTGGATTGGACCAGGTCCATTTGTAATGGACTCACATTGGACTGGACCGGATTGGACCAAATCCAGTCCAATTGACACCCCTACTTATGAGTACTTTAAGAAATTTGTCCTTTAATATATAGATACCACAATTTAGAAAATCACTGACTTTTCTTTTGAATATTCATTCCCTATAGCCTACAAAATATCCACTTTCATTTTGTTTTGCATGCATCTAGACATAGCGTTAGCTTGTAAAAGGTAAAAACTAAGCTGGTGCTAGATGAGCTCTCCAATTAAAAATGATCAACTAGAGTAGGATTAGCATTCCTCCCACAAGAATTTAGATTTGCTCCTCACTCCCAAAGTTCAAAGTATAGACAATGTATTTATCAACTATCGGATGCATCATATCGAATCAATATGTCTCCGGTATCTCAAATAAAAAGAATTTTATGGAGCCCAGATTTCTTACAAACTTTTCCTACCCACTCTCTATCCGCTGTGAATTGGAGTTTAAGAATAGACATGCATAAAACTGAGTAGGAAAAGTGAGTTTAAGAATTTTATGAATCAACATGTCTCCGGTAAGAAAAGTGAGTAGGAAATCCCGAGTGCATTTTATGGGATAGACATGCATAAAATTGACCTCTTGAAACAATTTTGAAAAAAGAAGTTATTAAGCATTGAAACACCTGATTGGGATAATCTCCGCATGAATGATAAAATATATGATGTACGAAAGATATTCCCAATGCACAGTTGAATGCATTGTGTGGTTGAAGTGAGTAGAAAATCTGATTTATTTGTGTGAGTGTTTGGTGTAGGCTGAGCCACCTAACTCCTCCGACTAATATCACCATTGATGTTATACATGATTATGTCCAATTGTCTAGTGTGATTTTATCTTTTTGGGATTATAGCTGATAAGGACAACTTTTGGGCCCTAATATCAATAAAAACAATACTTTTAATATAATTTCTAAAATATGTTAACTTTTTAAAAAATATATCAAATAAGGGTAAAAATATTGTCATCTTCTTCCTCCTACCAACCATCCATCAGCGCCACCGCCTCCGGCAACTTCTGGCAATGCCTCCACCCAATGCTGACAATGCCGCCTCCCCCCACCTTCGCCCCAGCCTTGCGAATCTCAATGACTACAAGCCACCAACGCCGCCTCCGCCCACCTCCGCCCCAGCCCTGCAAATCTCAATGACTACCATCCACAAGCATTGTCTCCACCGCCACTGCCGCCTCCGCCTCTGCCCACCTTCGGCAACGCCAATCAGATGACATGAGGTGGTCGGTGGCGTTGCTGGAGGTGGGCGAAGGCGTTGTCAGAGGCGGCGCTGGAGGATGGTGGTCATTTTTGCAGGGCTGTGTTGGGGCGGAAGTGATTTGGAAGAGGAAGAACAGGAATAGTGTTTTTGCCCTTATTTGATATATTTTTTAAAAAGTTAACCTATTTTACAAATTATATTAAAAGTATTATTTTTATTGATATTAGGGTTCAAAAGGTGCCCTTATCAGCTATATATAGGCTATTTCATTAATTCTCAATGCATAGGAATGACAACACGGGTGGGGTAGGGATGGGGAGTCCCCATTCCCATCCCCATGAAAATCCCTATTCTTGTCCCCGTCATGTATAAAGTTATCTCTATCCCTGTTTCAATGGGGATTCCCACTCTTCGTGATTTTTTATGATATCAATCATTTTGTTTTTGTGTTTTTATTTTATTTAAAAAAATAAAAATAAAATAGTCAAAATTTACAATCCCACAAATGGGAATGAAAAATTCCCCTATCCTATCTCTGTAAGTGAAAAGTCATCCCAATTCCTACCCTCGAATGAGCAGGGCTGTGAGAATATAAAAATGGGAAAAATTGCTATTCTTACCAAAGCATAGGGGTGCTCACGGTTCGGTTAACCGAACCATGAACCTTTTTTTTGTAGCCAAACCGGTACTACCGATTTGAAAATTTGGTAATCGAAACCGAATTGAAACCAATCGGTTAACAATTAGTTCGGTTTGTCAGTTTTTTGGTTTTTTAATTTTTACAATATATATTATAAAAATATATAATATTATATTTTAAATAATAAATAATATGTCATATATTATAAATATATATTTATATATACTACATATTTATTAATTTATAGTATATAAAAAATATAAAATATATATAATATACATAAATATATATAAAATATATATAAATATATGTATACCGGCCGGTTTGGTTAACTAATGGATTTCTATATTGATTAACTGAAACCGAACAGGTACCTTCGATTTTTTAAAAACACCGAACCAAAACCGAACCGACTGATTTGGTTAATCGATTTTTCAGTTCGATTTTGGTCGATTCGTTTTTTTTGTTTTTTGTTTTTTTTTTGCTACACCCCTACCAAAGCATCTAACAAAGTACATATCTTGGTTTCTGCCCGAGAGTAGGAAATCTGTGTTCACAATTGAGAGATGTGTGACTTGCAATTCAAAACAGGGAGAGTGGGTAGGAAAAGTGAGTAGGAAATCTGTGTTCACCTGCACCCACTTAATCAAGGACGGCAATTTATCCACGGTAGGGTGTCAATGGATCGAATTTGGGTTGGATCCATCCGAATCAAATTTAAACTGAACCTGAACGGATTGAGGATTCAAAATTTTGTATTGGGTTGAATCGATCTACACAGACTACAATAATTAACGAACCGAGATAGAACCGGTCTACAGACTACATTTTATGGTCCGATATAATTAACGAACCGAGATGGGCAAACCCGATTAGTCCACAACCCGACTGAAATCGATCTAACGACAAACGTAAAAGCTCCGGACTCCGGTCAAGGTTTTCTGAGCAAACTATCACTCTCCGGCGGCTATTTCTTCTTTGCTCAAACATCCCGGGAAACAATCATTGGAAAAGGTAAATGAAACCTACTCATTTTTTTCGTGTTTTTAGGTCGATTTAGGGTTTTAATTGTTACTAGACGTGAATGAATGTGATGTAGCATACAACCTGAGCTGCATCAGAATGGCATCCTTTCTGTATTTTGCACGTTAATCCGCTCGATTTAGGATTTAGGATTTTGTCTTCCATGGTAATGAATGATCAGTGCTGACTTGGAGTTGATTTAGTATTTTAGTTTTTACAAGACGTGAATGAATAGCTCATTTTTTTCCATGTTAAAAAGGAAAACTGTAAAAACGTAGGTAGGAATGATCTCCATTCTCTCTCAGATTGGCTAGATTTCCTTTTCATTTTTTTCAACCAGGGCACGGTTCTTCGTTTTTTCAAAATTTTTTTGGCATCTCTCAAGTCCTAATCACTTGGCTCACCCGTACTGCAGTGTGTGGGTACATGAATGTTTGTCTGCTCTGCTCCGATGATCTGATGTTTTCAAACGAATTATTTAAACCCGCTTCCTTGCGTTCTTTCATTCTTTGATTCTTGGTCTGGGATTAAACTAAGCCCTTTCCCCCCACCCCCCCTCTCTCTCTCTCGGTATTCATGGAGTTATTTGGAAATTGCTGTAGTTTTCTAGTTGCTTTCCTTGTTCATTCTCAGAGATCCTCTCCGGTTCGCTCGCTCACCTAAGCTCTGAGAACCCCCTATCTGCTAATGCTAATGTTGTTTTTTCATTCTTCCTAATAAATGATATTTTCTAAAGGGTAGCTAAAATTGTAAAATTATTTTCGTAGATATTAAGAATTTAAGACCCTATTACCCTAACATGCATTTGTCTGGGCTTGACTTGAGGGCTTGGTACAAAGGCGGCTCATAGAATTAAGAATGAAATATGTTTAACATTATATTATTGGATTATTTGAAACAGCGCAATTAAGAAAGAAATAAAGAAATTGAAAGTTTGTCATACTTGAATATCTTTTATATGCTATATTTGATTTTATTGTTTGCTTTTTCACTTTGAATATGTTTTATATGTTATGATTATGTATTTTAATTTGAGCTAGTAAGTTTTTTAAAATATTTAAATTAAAACCAAAGTTTATATTTTAATATTTTCTTAATTTATTTTATTTTTTACAATTTTACAAAATTTTACATTTTTTTAATTTTCTAGATTTTTTTTTTTTTTTAAATTTGTGCCTTGCTTCAAAAAGGCACACACCTCACCTTGCCTGATTGTGCCTCAAGTGCAAAATGCCCTTTGTGCTTTTTTTGTGCCTTGCACTTTTAAAACATTGGGATTACTAATATGTTGCATTTTTCTGTTTGTGGGCAGGGTATAAGCATTTACCTATGTCACAAGCTATTTGGTGCTTAACACACTCAGTTTGAAATTTTAATTTGGAGAAAGCTTGATGTTCTTCCTTAGCTTGATTGAGCATACTTTGCGTTTGCCCCCTCATCTACTTAAACTTCCTTTGGATGAAGCAATTAAAGGAGAACTCGAGGCACTTTTCTTGGATAAGGTTTGTCAAATTTCTTTCTTGACTCTTTTTCTTTTCATATTGTTATTGAAATTTCTGCTATTTGAAGTTATGATCAATAATGCAACATTTAACAACTTGCATCATATGTTTTGATGAAGGTTATCCCGAATTTGGGGCTTTGCATCTCCATTTATGACATTGGAGATATTAAAGATGGCTTCATCTATCCTGGAGATGGTGCTTCAACCTATACGGTGTTTATCTATCTATAATGTTCCCTTCATTATTAATTACCAAAAAAAAAAAAAAAACAAAAAAAGATGTTCTCTTCATTAGTGTTTCCTTTATTTCTCATTGTAGTTCTTTCATTGAAACATTATTGATGTAATGGTTCTTTTGGTGGATCCTTGGATATCTAGCAAAGGGCATGCTATTTGTTTATCTTCCTCGTTAAAATAATCTTCTTTGATACTTTACATCTTTCAATATGCTTAGAATGCTGACTTTTGTTCAGTTAGTATATGTGAGTTACAGTGGCATGTTATGATCTTCGTTGTTGGACATTTTGCATCTATGCCTCTATATCTGGTTAATTATTTTGTTTTTTGAAACTGTAAGACAGTATTTCATTTATATATAAATCCAGAAAAGGACAAAGATAGCCTCTGGACAATGAGATTCTGTACAAGGATAAAATATATCTGACCCTTTACAAACATCCAAGTACATCAAAAGATCTTTCTATGACCTTACAAAAAGATAATCCCAATCAAGATAAATTTTAGTGTGTCTACTTCGAACGAAGAGTGGCTTGGATGCCCCTGATACAGGGAAAACCGCCTACTTTTGTTCTTTTTTATAGTGCAAATGACAACTAGCATTAATCATTGACATCATTGTAATTTTAGTATAAAAACTAAGGTCATTTTGGTTGTTTGCACTTTACAATCCTAAAGCAATGACATTTAACTGTCTTTTTTGGCATTAGGTGGATATGCAATATCTTAACTTATGGGAATGCATACAAAATTTGACAATGTAACGGGATAAAAGCAACAACGCAAGATCCTTTCTTATGGTTAAATAAAATTTAATTAAAAGGAAATAAGATATCCTTTATTCTATAAGGAAAAGTGCACTTCAAAGGATTCTATGAGGTGATCTCAAAATTCCTTCCGTCGAATTTATCCTTACCAACTTTGTCTTGGGATTTTGGTTTCCGTAGAGGATTAAGAGATGAGGGAATTGAGTGTTTGTCTACTCTTCTATGTCTCCTTGATAAGGTTTGGTTGGATCCCTCGAAACCTGATAAAAGGATTTGGACCATTCACCCCAAAGGGTCTTTTTCTTGTGGTTCCTTTTTCAAGTTCCTCTGCCAATCTCCCTCT